TAGGGCTAGTGTCATGATGTGTGCTTTACTTTTTGGTTATATGACTCGGGGACGAGTTATTGTTTATGATTAAATCGTTTTATTTGGTTAAGCAAGGTTAAAATGTTTTGTAAACAAAAACACGATCCTAGCGACACCGGACGGAATTATCAATCAAATTGGCTTCAGCTGATCCATAGGGATGACAAATCTACTGAGGGAGTACGCTATGTTATCTATTCAGGGATGACTTGTAACTACGATAACTATGCAAAATAAGATGGAAGTGGGTAGTGGGTAGTTTGACACAATACGTCTAGAGACTTTTATCTTTTTTGAGCTATGCCTGTCCTTAAAAAAATATGTATCAACCCAAATAAATCATTTAAAGCCTAATTTATTCGCAACAGTATACATTTACATATTTTAAGTATACGTGTTACTGTGCTTAGTAAGGATTAGGATTCCATTACATGTAATTGGTTTTGGAAAATAATTTAATTGCCATCAATTCAAAATATGTAGCAGTCATGGATATAATTTGTAATGAGATATTTTACCAATAAATCTTACCAATGAACATTCTTTCTATTTCGTACATTTTTGTGGAATAGCAGTAATATACAGTAAACTGGTGGAGTTTTAAAGATCTTTAGTGAGTAGCAAACTTGTCATGAAGCCAATGAATTTGCATCATTTAGCATAAAAACTAAGATACGAGAAAATTAAACACATTCAAAATGTAACGTATGCTAAATAAATGTTAATTATACAGGGGAAGAGCTGTTGGAAATCAATTGTTGAGACAGTAATTCTACATCCAAATCCTACTAATCACTATGACTAAGTTCAAACCCAAAACTGTTACACAACTACAAAAATCTCTTTCATCCACACAGCCAAATGAGTCATGCGAACTGAATGACGCCGTTCTTCTTGCAAAAACCGTCAACATTGACAAACCAGACGCTAACACCTACTCTAAAAGCCGAGCAAACAAGCAGAAGAGGTTGACCCGTAGGTGCACCCATTCTGGCGGGAGAAACTATTAGCATACGTGAACGATGGCTTCACAGCACATGACTTACTTAGCGTTGTTTACGGTTAGCAAACGGGTCGATGAAAAGGGAAAATCTGCGACGATCGCCGTTACATTAGAATACAAAGTCTTATAAACAAGTGTAAATCAGGGGCGACTAGAGAGGCTTTATGGGACATAAAGAAGAGCATTTGTGGCAAGTAGTCAAGCCTCCTACTAGATGTAGGTCTGAAGTTGGCCTTGTACATGTCTTGAGAAAGAGGTTTGTTTTGAAACAGTAATATAGTGGCTTTGGTGTATTTTTATGTGTAAGATAGGTCAAGATGTTTGTAGCTGTTAACTGGAAGAGTAGAGGTAAAGTTTTACATGAAATGACGTTATGATTAAGATTTATGCTAATGAGGCCTAATGATGTTAATCCTTCACATAGGCAGAACTTATTATTACTAAGTTGTGCAACTAACGAAATTGCAGTTTTTACTTTCTTTCTACCCTGACCTATATATTATTTATACCACTAGAAAATTTAGTCAGGCATGCAAGAACTATTGGATGAGAGTGATTAAGTCATAGATGGTTAATATGTGTTATAATGACCAGCATAGCTTGAATGAAGTACACAACAAGTAAAAATCCTTCGTCTGAACCTATCCAAAACCTTATCACAACACTTACACTATCTCATCATAAGCATATACTATACAAGATTTTACCTCTTAAACCGCAAACATTGTAACGAGCAGCCCAGGATTCCTCGGTAGCTCCCGAGTTCCACCCTACAAAGGAGAATTCCCCGTTGACTGTGATATACAACTCCGTCACCCGGACGCATATCCTGCCCCAGAACAGATTCCAGCGGTTGAGCACGACACACTATATCCTGGCGACAGGACACAGCCATACAAATCAATCGCTCTAAGTGGCTGCGGCAATACGGATATTTAAAACTTAATTAATCATTATACGGAATGCGGCCAATTGTTTCCATGCAAATGGGAGAGCATCTGCCGGCAAGAATGCCGCCTCATTAGGCTCTGTAAACGCGAGATTAGTGTCTTAATCAATAATCAGGAAGGATGAATGGTGATTGGCCGCGGTCGCTGACCAGCACGACTGGGCTACCGCAAGGTGCCGTTGTGGGACCGATCTTGTTTAAGTTACATCACATTGGTTGGGAGTCAGATGATCTGTGTGGATTTGTAGTAAAGATCGCTTCTTACAAGTCCAATGAACAAAGACAGTTGCGTACAGTCGAGTATACTAAATTTTTACTCACGCACTCAGAATTGAACCTGTGACCTGATGGTGTAAGGCGATCATTATAACCTCTAACCTAATCAGCTCCGTTTAGGCTTTCCAGCACTGACAAAGTTGTACTTTCGACGTCTCAGTATTTCGGAAGGGGCTTTTAGGACAGTAAGATATCCTTTTGTTGAAATTATTAAGATAACTTTAAAATTCCCCAGAAGATATAAAGTGAGAAGAAATCACAACGAGTGTTCTAATTTATTTCAAGAGGAAATATTGTTATTTTACTTAAATGTTTGTATTATAATATTCTTTTTCCAGTACAAGGGAACTTAAAATATTTTAACATAAAACACGTGTGTTAAACAATATCTTTAATGTAAAGAACATTTGTTTCTTTTTTGTTTCGTCTCATCATAGTAAAATATGCAGACTTGATTAATATGAGAATCATGTCGTCTTTCTTACGGAACACAAGTTACAGCCAAGCTGTTTATACAGCACATTTCCATCACCATGTTGTTTAAATAAATAAAATGTATTATATATCTTGCTAAAGACTTAATTAACAATTACTGTGTGCTTGAAATACCCGTAGAATAGACACACGTCTGAAATAATATTATTTATTATTTTTATTTATATCGTGTTTGGTACCTGCAATGATTTCGTAGTGAAAGTATACGACCTTTGTGAATAAATTTCGCATACAGATGAGTAAGAAAATATGTTAAATATAAGGCTGCAAGGATTAGGGTGAGTATTTTCTTGCTATAATATTCGTTTGTGCAGATTTTACTGACAATATTATGTGCAAACATGAATAGAGTGTGATCATTTAGGCCTATTGTTAACCTTGGCACATGCTTTTCAACAATATCCATAAAAAACACACTTGCGGATTTGATAGTTAAAAAAGAATTTTTAAATGATCAATAACCTCCGACATCAGACGTTTCATAACTGTAACAGAACTTATTTGCTAGCACATCAAATTCAACAAAGGCTTTCAAGGTTGTTTTTGAATACACTAAACTGCTGGAGAGTGATCATCCGTTGCTTTTCCTCATCACGAAAATTGTTTGAATTACAGCTAGACTATAGTCTGTATAATAGAACCTATCCCCTGAAACCTGGGCCATAAACCATCGGTCAGTCCACAGGTATACCTTCATCAGACAGGTTCCATCATACAGAGTATAAATCTCCTAAAGTACTTTTCAACGTACGACCCTAATGACGCCAAGCAACGATTTGGAGATCCGAATCTCCTTACATGCGCTATGACATCCTCCCAGTACCGCGCCTATGTGACTAATGCGCCTGTAAGCCTGCGCAGTGTTGGTGTAATGATAGCCTGCACTCTGCCGATAGAGCGCATAACAATAATCGTTGCGCAGATATATTGGTCGGTGTGATGCGCATGTCCGAGCATCGCGCACCAGCGTGATAGTGTCAACAGCTAGGCACTCGCCCTCCCACATTACCAGATTAGATCTGAATGTGACTGGTGAGGCTGGTGGCTGGTCAGGGTCACGCTTCTCATAGTTGCTGCGAGTTGCTTTGGTTTCAACGCCAGTGGCATTTTGTCATAAAGAATTTTGAACTATTTCGAAGGAAAGTGGTCTGAACCCAATTAGTTTTTGTGAGTCTACCAGGGATTGAACTCGTGTACCTCTCGCACTGAAGTCTAAGATTCTTACCATCAAGATAGCAAGAAAATTTCTTTTAGTTTTATGATAAAAGACCAGGAAGAATGTTGTAACCAATCAAGTCCCACAAAACCAATAGATTAATCCTCCAAAACTGTTAAACACCAACTACAATTCCAGATTTTAGACAGTTGGCTCTCTTGAGTCAACAAGGGTCCATATATCTTGGGAAATATATCTTAGCCTCTGCTTGCTCCCAAAGCAATAACACTCTCAAATCTGAAGTAGAAAAATGTAATCTAGTTTACGCCAGATATTAACCTGCAGTGAAGACCTTAGAGGTTTTACGCAGTTGAATAGTTTTTTTTATCAAGAACAATTATGCTGAACAATGAAAAAAAAACACACACAAAAACATTTTCCTACAGTTACCTAATAATGTACTTGTTCTCTCACTGATTTGAGAAAGCAAAGTGGCCAATTCGCTCATCAGTGAGACAATGTTAACATTGTCTCACTCTAATTACTTTGTCTCACTCCAGATTTGCAACGTGAAGGCACGAAACAGTGAGCGCGTAACATGCAGGCAACGTCGTATGCGCGCGAAATACGTTGGCAGCACTGGCTGTAAATCAGCTGGTCAGCTGTTGTACTGTTGTATTTGTCACTTCACGTTAAATTTTATATTACAAGTTCAATTCTGTGTAAAAATAGGTTATGTTTAATCACCAATTTATTTGTTTTATGGTAACTGTAGGAAAAGAATAATGTGCAACTCGAGTTCAAAGTGCAATTGCCTCACTCGAGAAACCATTCCTCACTCGCCTACGGCTCGTGGGTAAGGATTTCTCTCGAGTGAGTCAATTGCTCACTTTTCTCACTAGTTGCACAAATAACTATATCCCTCACTAATAATTTCCCGTGATTTTCTTTGATATTGTAACACAAAAAAGTGTTGCAATTCTTTTAAGAACGATATTTAACACAAACAAAGACTAAACAGCTGGCCAAACAAAGTAGCTTGAAACACCTAAAACCAGCTGATACGCACAAATCAGCTGATAGAAGATTATTTGTTGCAGATGAACCAGCTGTGCCGAGTGTGCGGCGAGCCGGCGGCGGGCTTCCACTTCGGGGCGTTCACTTGCGAGGGATGTAAGGTGAGTGTGGGGTAATTAGACAATCACTCTGCAATGCAGCTATGCAGCCTGAAGACTTGTACCATTGTATCCCAGAGAATACCAGACCGTTCTCGGATACCGTGAGATTCAAATGAGGCTAAAGAACGTAAGGGAGATCGAGGATTTGTGGGATCAGAGTACAATTTGATAGAGCAGTACGGTTAATTTAGCTTGCAAATTAAGTCTTTGGTTTGTGTTAAAATTGAAACTGTAATTTCTATGAGTATTTTGGTTTTGCATCGATAAAGAAGTTATGAGTAGCATATGATTGAATTTAAATAGTGCATTCTCTTAAAATATAAAAAAAATTAAATTTTGTTGGTAATCAGAATGTTTGTTAGATAAGAAATTCAAGAATAAACTGTTTTCTTTCCAATTTTCCTGTTGTACAAACATTGCATTGAATTGTATAGTAAACGTTAGAAAAAGTTTAAACTTACTATCACATGCTTATCATTTTAAATTCTTTACTCTGTAACACCTTACGTTTTGGGTGTATTCAATGCTGTAACAAGATGTAAGTTAAATTTTAAAGACAACAAACTACAAAAGTCACAAAGCAGCTTGTTTAAAGTAGTTTATATATAAACTTTCCTCCTTAAAAAAGTATCAATTCTATTTTTATCGGTGTCTACTACGGTGGCATTTTACCAGAAGAGATGTTGGAAAGAGTGTAGACAAACGCTTTTTGGAAAAGCGATCTAAACCCATATGTTTTCAATTTAATTTGTAAACTGAAAATGACATTCTAGCCTATTAAAATTTTGTTTCAAGTATTGTATATTATAAACCCATAAACAATGTATTATCTCTTCTGTTACAGTCTTTCTTCGGGAGGACCTACAATAACCTGGGATCCATCTCCGAGTGCAAGAACAACGGGAAATGCGTCATCACCAAGAAGAACCGAACGTCGTGCAAGGCGTGTCGACTGAGGAAATGTCTAGTGGTGGGAATGTCCAAGAGCGGCTCACGCTACGGACGGAGATCCAACTGGTTCAAGATCCACTGTCTTCTTCAAGAGCAACAGCAGAGTCAGATGCCGATGCTTCCACCCAAGGAGAAGATGTGGGATGGACTTCCGTTCCAGGGGAAGCAGGTGGACGCTGACAACAACAATTTGACGAAGGACAAGCAGGAGAGACCTTTGTCACCAATGATGCTTCCTCCTGGTTACGGGTCACCTGAGGCTGCTGCCGCGTTCTGGGCTGCAAGGAGTTCACTGCTTCCGGTGCACCCTCATCACTCTGGTCTTCCTTTCTTCCCACCGTCATTTCTTCAGCCACCCTACCATCAACCTCCTCCACCCAATTTCTCTTTATTACCTTTCTTGCCTCTGAGGCATTCTCTTCCGAACGCCCCCACCGTTCTTTCCGAGTCTTCAAATTCCTCTTCTCCATCACCGTCACCCTCGTTGACTGACGAACAGTCTAAACCTCCTAGAGAAATCTCTCCGGCTGAATCAACCCATAAATCTTTAGAAGTGTTGCGGTCTTTGGGTCCCGTGCAGGAGTCACCGATGGATCTGTCGTGTAGGAACCAAAAGGGACCTTGTGAAAAGGTCGAAGTTGAAATACAAGACCAAAACAGTAACATTATAGGAGTTAGTGAAGAAAGTAGTTCGAAAGAAAGCGAGGAAGGTCTTAAAAAGACTCCTTTGGACTTGACGTTTTCAAAGTCTTGATGAACTTGAATATTAGTGTTACCAGAGACTGATTTAGACGTATAGTTCAACTAGTTTTGGATTTAATTCAAACGCGTTTCTCTAGGTATAAAACGATATTTGACTCGGATAATGCCATCCTACAGTTTTTTAATAGATTAATTATATTGTATATATTTGAGAATGTAATATATGACTATAAATATATTTATTTGTTCGTCTGATAATGAATCAGTTTGACGTGTGATATGGGATTTCAAAGGCCAGTTATAGTATGTATTTTGTAAATAAACAATTTCAAGAATTCTTCCTGTTATGCTTATTTTCCTGACCCTCACAAACTTCCAATAAAGAGGTAATTTGGGTAAAGTGATAATAATTTATTAGATTAATTTTCTTGTTGTAGCCTCAAGTTCTTGAGTAGGTATCCTGTATCTTCTTGAGTACAGGCCACAACAAAAACGATAATTAAATATAATTCAAGTACTTGAAACTGGGATAGAAAAATCTATAATAATAGAATTCATTTTTATACCCTTGACATCTCATAATTTACAGCTTTAACGTTAAAAAAGCGTATTAGATAATTAACATATATTCATCTGCTTATGAGGGTTGTTGCGGTACTTTTTTCTTACACAGGACAATATAATTTGCAGAAAAATACCTGGTTCATAATTTTAAACGTAATATTCAGACTATTTTACAGAAGGAAACATCATATGAAAAAAACAGTGTTAATGATTTCATAACATTCAAGGTCAGTACTTATTAGTACCACTAAACAGCTATTATAGTCCAGGGATAGAAAGCTATTATGAATTCATTTCTAGAGAATATACCTGTGTTTCTGGTTAAATGGTATTTATTAAGAGAATATTGGTGAGTTGTTCGAAGAAAACATTAAATGAACACAAAGAAATACTAAGTATGGTATTGTTCCCAACAGTTTGTATAATAATTTAAATTTTATAATACCTTTATTGTTCAACAAATAGAGTTTCCTTATACATTGGTTAAGTAGAACACTATATTGTCAAAAGAGTTGTTAAAAATCTAACGAAATGTCCATCTCATACTGAATTCCAAAATATACAATAAAAACAATACATTATAAATATACTCAAATTTTAATTTTTTATTAGGTTGTTGTAATCGATTCCTAAGTCTGGCCTTAAAATATAACGTTAATTTCACCCCTGTATACAGGGCTAAATGAGCCTATAATTTTAAATTTAAGATATAGGCCTATGTATTTCGCCTTAAATATGATAAATCAGCATATTCTACATTAATGCCACCACGAGACCTCGGTTGCAGGACATATTGGATGTATTGGCATACACAAATTTCGCCGTCACCACCAACAGTGTATGGCTTCCGGTGGAGCTTAGTCTCATTATCTGATCCTGCGACTCACGGCGTCTCCCCCATTCAAGTCTCCAAGTACAGCGGGGGCGATCACTGTTACTGTTGCTGTTGTTGTTTTGTAGTTGTTGTGACTACGATTGAGCCTAGCCACTGTTTGTTACGGTTGTCTGGATAGGTTTTATACGTTTTCTCCAATAAGAGGTATTCAGGTTTTATGAAATTCGAGTACTGAAGTGAATTTTATTTTCTAGATTAAATTTTATATGATAGCTTTTTCCCATGTAAAAAATCGATAGTTTGAAGAGAAACTTATTTATGTCATGAAGATCTAGTCTTCTAACAAAATTAAATCCTAATAAATATGCATAGCCTACCTATACATTACACCTAACAAAATATTGTTATTAAGTTTCTTTGCAATTTTTCTTATATATAACCCTGCTAACTAGGTGAGAAAAACCCTTAATTTAATTTGATATATTAGTTTATGATCTACGGAATCATTTTAGTAAGGTTGTGTTTGCTCAACAACAGTAGAACAAATGGTATTTTGGAGCTAAATGGGTTATCTTAGTGAAATATGTATCATTAATTGTATGTTTCGTCATTTTAGATTCACAAACTTACTTAAGAAATACAGCAAATGGTTCTGAAGTTATCAATAGGTTATATGAATAGTTTAGTAATTTTCTCTTTTAAATCAAACAAAAAGACATACTGTAAGTATCGGTCTTTCTTTGTCTTATTGGCACCAGTTTGGGAAAAAAATTTTAAAGTTTACAGATGGGTTTTAGTTCTAAAATCCTCTCTTCTTAAATTTATATTAAAATCCATTTGATGTTCTTTTTCAAGACTTTTCCTTTAATTGCTTATGCTGGAACCTGCTCCGCACATGTCCACAATAATACACAATAATAATCACAATAATTTAATTTCCTCCTGTTATACTCTGTGTGGTGGAACCTGTCAACTTACCATCCACTTTGAGACTTTACAATCTTTTAAGGTCCGGGCCAGAGGGTTAGGGCACAGGTTTCATCATACAGACTTTAGTGTAAGTAAATTTGAAAACTAAGTAAAAACAACACTAATATTTTTATAAACATAATTTTGCTGTGATCATACTACCACATAAGTAATTGAGGGGAATATTTTGAACAAAGAAAGAGTGGTCGCACCAAAACACTTGGCAAAACAAAGATCCATTGACCCGTCCACAGTCCACATCTCCACACCCAGTACAGAGTGCTAACAACTGAACCACGCAACTCAAAGACAGAGCTGACAAACATACTGAGTGCCAATCTGGATTGTGGGTAAATACCATTAGAACTTCACAGCTTTGCTTTGCTGTGCAAACATTTTAGACGTAAGACTCGAGACTCAAACTACATGTTTGTGGACGTTATAGATTTCTAAGAGCGAGCAAAAAGAAAAAAAAACATAAGGAAAATAGTTGTTTGAGTAGGGGTAAACAAGTTAAAATTTCAGAGCTAACTTAATTGTTCAAATAAGTAATCGAAGTTCGAATTGCTTTTCATCTAGAACACTGAAAATACACTTAGGGTGTACTTAGGGCACCACTGAATCACCATTTCGTAAAAAAACATTTTATTAATCTATCTTATTATTTTGCCTAGCCTATCACAAACGGACCTAAAATGTAACTTTTGACCCGGATTGAAATTTGCTCCGGCACTGGAACAACAATGTTTGTGCTCATGCTTTTGGCTGACTTGTTTGAGCTAACTAGTTTTGATCTTACCACATGTCCACAGATATTAATTTATACACGATATCCTAAGCATGAGTTATCTCCCTTGTTTTTAATCAATTTATTAAAACTTTGTATCGTTAGAGTTGTAAGAAAATTTTCCTTATAAAACATTTCATCTGAGTGGGTTTTTTTTGCCTACATAGCTTTTATGTTATTTTCATTGAAAGATTGTTAATGGTCACCATTTTTAAATTGCACAAGATAAGAATTATATATATTTTTTAAATAGGTGTTATTGATCCATGCACTAAATTTAAATTAACTACATGTCTTTATAAAATAAAAATAAACAGTTTAGGAGAAAAGAAATGGCATCGGGTTATTTTTAATAACAAAATTTAACGTGATACTTTAGTTTGTCCTTGGTCCAGAAATGATACAAGGTCAGTTGAGAGTTCAGGGACATTCTGTATCCTACACTCATTTTAGTTGTTAATGTAAATACAAATACTTTTACCTATATCATTACAGTGATTGATTATGCTGTTTAAACCCTGCCTTTTAAACAATTTTATGCCACTCTTTTATAATAACATGTGCTTGAGATACAATTAATAAAGGTTAAAATAATAACAGAATTTTACAACCCTCCCTAATTTGACAAGGTATCAATGGAAACGTTCACCAATAGAGTAAGGGAGGACAGTGAACACATAATTACTTTATATTTAGTTAAGCATATTATATTTAGTATAAGAAAACTGAATATAATATGCTCTAGTCATCTTTGCTACTATGCTACTTTCATTATGCCTTTACTATGCTTTTTTTATTCATTATAAAAAAATATTTAACGAAAAACGTACATAATTTGTCAACTTTACTATTTAGGGAGTTGCTAAAAGCGTACCATTTTAACCCAAGATTTTGGCTGACCCTGGTTTTATATAAGCCTGAAATGAACATTTTAATTAACAGCCTCAATAAGCTCAAATGTTCATCCATTAGATGAACTGATGTTTTTATAAATCACAACAAAAGTTTTACTTTTACTTTTTATTTTTTGTCATAAAAAAAATCGTAGACCTCTTCTAAGGGTACGGAGACGGATCTAAACATTTTTCTAGTAGTGTGTAAAATGTTTCTTCTGGCGAGAGGTGGAGACGATACTATTATTTGAGGCTTTAACTGCATTCAGGACAAAGTGAAGCTTTCGCCTAAAACGAGGTATCATTAAACGTTTAAAAGCATAACGAATCTTTCCGAGCAAACAAAAAATAACAATCACCAAATACAGTGTTAGATGACACAGTGACATCTTTGCTGTATTTCACCATTGTATCCCTGTAAATTTTATCATCATAGTATTTTATCATAGTTCCAATAGACATCTTTGCTGTTTTATTAATTCACACATGTTTAATCTCCATATAATAATAGGATTTCCAAATGAGAACCGGAAAGAGACCTTAAGGAAGAAGGTTTTGCTTGAGCACCTAGCTAAAACATGTGGAAGCAATAACCCTTGAGGCCAATAACATTACCTGAAGAAGAAATGTTCAAAAATGAATTTCCTTGTCAAATGTTTACAATATTTACAAAGATGATTTCTATTTGAATAAATATATTTCCAAATGAGAGGTTAATAGGAGACTTTTGTTTTGCAGTAACCATTTAGGTGTTGTAATTAGATTCCAGAAATGTTTTAAGCAATTTGATTTTAACCTATTTGTTAACCTTATAACCTATTGTTGTCTGGGAATGCAATTGACATCTCGAAGTGCCCTTACAGCCGACAAACGACATCTCAAAACTGTAAAATCAATTTGCAAACCGTGTAATGCATCTGGTTTTATTACAAGTCAACGGTCCCGCGTCACCGCCAGTGACAGACAGACAGACAGACGCTATTGCAGTGTGCCCCTCTTTATCACTTGCAGGCAATAAATATCTGCAAGCTTGAATTACTGTAGATTGTTCCGACCCCATTTGCATTGCTGGACGATAAATCTTCGGATGCTTGATCTACGACCGTGTCGTCTTTGTAATTGTTTCCTATGTTTGATACTGAAGGTGTTGTACAAGACGAAGGTAAATGGGTGGGAAAAGCTGGAAATGTCTGATTATTTTACTGTTATGAAGAAGTCTTTTCTGGAGTAAGTTTTTTTTAC